TCTGTTACAAATTTGGGCTTTATCTCCCACAGTTCAGCATTATTTGAGCTATGTGTAAAGACAGTCACACAGTCAAGAAACCTGCTTCTTACTACCAGGTACTTGTTCCTCTCTCCTATGTAAACATAGAGTCTCCCGTCCTACAATTATCTTTATTGACAGGTATGTGGTCAGCATTCAGGGCCATTTAAGACATTTCCAGACTTCCAAGGACATAGAATTGCTACATGCCCAAAGCTGTTAATTCACTGCTGTTCACATAGATAGAAAAAATAAGCATGCCTTGGTTTTACCTCACTTATAGATAAGAAAAGTGATGATCTAAAACTAAGCTTGAATTAAAAGATTCCTAGCTCCTCACTTCACCTTCACCTCAGGTTACTGACGATTTTAGTTTGGGAGATTTACTGCTTGTGTCTTACTCTCAGGAAAAATAGCTAACTATCTACCCATAGCCCAAAGGAAGACAAACCTTCACTGGTGCCCCTGATAAGCATCAACTTTGCTAAAATTGAAGCTTGCAAACATTTAACAAAAACACTAATGGACCAACGGCCATAAACTTCCCAATGCGGGAAAGGTTTCTTGAGTCTTTTTAGCTGGGTAAGAACAAAGAGAGTTAACAGAAATGCGAACAGAAAGAAGTGTGAACAGAAAGAAGCTGGAGCAGAAGTTAAAACAGAAGCAAAATCATCCCAAAAATTCAGAGATAGAAAAATAAAAAAAGAAAAACAACATAGCAGAGAAATGGAATTGAAATTAGGATTGAGACAGAGAACTAGAGCTAAGAAATTATAGACAGTTAGGACAGAAGAACTAGAATAGAGTACCTGGAAGAGAGAACAATATAGAGATGGGGATAGAAAGAACGTATTATGAATACACTTATTGACCCTCAAATTTTAGTTCCTTTTGCTTATCGTGGCATCTTTATTTTGAACCCTAGGAGGAAATCTTAGAGGCTGAACTTTTAAGGTTTCTGTGGCTTTAAGGTCTTGTGGCTTTGGTTAAGCTGTCAGTCAGTTGGTTTTTAAAACTTGTCTGTTTCTCCCCTGATCAATTTTTCTGTATTCTTCCCCACATCTTGTGGATATTTGCCCTCAAAAACATCTTTAAATACCAGGTCTAAGTTAGCATCTCATTCTATCAATCTTACATTTCCTCAGGGTCACCTTGGCTGAAGTAAAAATATATTTAGGATCAGCCACTCACTCATATTTTATTGCTAATAATGTCGTATCATAGGGTCTGAACAATCTGATCAGCAACTAAAAGCAACAACTGCTCATTTACAGGGCCTGGCTATGATTACAAGCATGCAAAAGAAAGCTGACAACTCCCTGGAACTTCAGCAATGGAGCATGTGACACCATCTTCTGGTATCCCCTGGTACCTGACAATCATTTGTTATGCAGTTGCAGGACTTATACACATAAATTAATTATTTAAAAATAATATATACATGAAGAAAACTTTATAACAATCTGGAATCACAAATATATTGATATTTTCAACATTTGCATTTCTGGTTCCCTAAAAAGCCAGAAGTGGTATCAGATTTCTTAAACCTGACAAGTTATTTTTTTAAATTTAAAACAATATTATTTTACACACCAATCCCAGCTCTCTCTCATCCTCTTGTTTCCCCCATTTTCTCCTCACCCCACCCCATCTACTCCTCTGACATGATGAGACATCCCACAGGGAGACAACAAAGTTCGTCATAACACTTGAGGCAGGACCAAGGCCCTCTCCCCTGTATCTAGGCTAAGTAAATATCCCTCCATAGGGAATGGGATCCAAAGAGCCAGTTCATACATTAAGGATAAATACTGGTTCCACTGCTAGTGGCCTCAGAACAAGCCAAACAACTGTCACCCAGAGGGCCTAGTTTGGTCTTATGCAGGTACCCCAGCTGTCAGATCAGTCAGCAAGCTCCCACTAGCTTGGGTCAGCTCTTTCTGTGGGTTTTAGCATCACTGTGTTGGCCCCTTTGCTTGTAATTCCTCCCTCTCTATGCCTGGACTCGAGGAGTTTGACCGGTGCTTAGCTGTGGATCTCTGCATCTGTTTCAATCAGCTACTGGATGAAGGTTCTATGATGGCCCTTAAGGTAATCATCAATTTGATTACATTTAGGTACTCTATACACTACTGCTTAGATTCTTAGCTGGGATCATCCTTGTGGATTCCTGGGAATTTCCATAGTATCTGGTTTCTCATTAAACTCATAATGGCTTCCCTTTTCAAGGTATGTCTTTCCTTGCTCTCCTTCTCTGTCCTTCACCCAACTTGACCTTCCCAATCCCTCATGTTCTCCTCCCTATGTCCCTTCTCCACTCCTCACTCCCCTACCTCACTAATTGGGTTATTTTCTTGCTTTGTTAATTTCTTTCATTTAAAAGTGTTTTAACTATGTTCATGTGTTTTAACCTGGGCCATGGTGTCTATTATCTACTTTTTCTATGTGAGCTCTACAGAGGAAACCCAGTCATCTGACTGCAAGTGGTCTTAATGGTACTTATTTGGGTTAAACGGTTATTTTTGTTTGAGGTGGATGGGAGTATACATATGCAACAGACCAACTGCAGAAATAAGAAATAATTTTGTGAGGCTAATATGGTTCTCCAACAGATTGAACACAGGTCATCAGGCTTAGCAGCAATCAGCTTCACTAAGTCAATTCTCTGGCTTTCATTTGTATTTCTGAGAAAGTGTAATCAAAAAGTGTTTAGTGGATAAATTAACCCATCCAGAAGCAAGTGGTAGCAATATATTATTTTCATTTGCAAATATGATTCTTGTTCAAATTGTCATATTTTCCTCTATCCTTGGAGGAAAATATATTTACAATCTGACAAGACAGTGTTTTAGTGATACAAAGTTTCTGGTAATCTTATTTGAGCATCTGTGAAAAGCCTCAGAGGAAAATGTGATCACCATATGAGGAAGCAAAAGTGTAGACCCTACAAAGTTGCCTTCTACTTTCCACATATCTGTCCTAGCCTAAAAATCTTACTGGACATATGAAAATGCTGTTTTGGATACACGGATGAGGTATTTACTATTTCTTATATTTCTTTTAAGCAAGCATTTTAGCATTAACGTTGTTAAAACATGAAGAGAAAACATGAGGTACGGGGAATTCATCATCTACCTCTGGATTGTACTCAGGAGGCTGAAACTAAGGACCATGAGTTCAAACACTTCCCTTACTAACTACTGACATCCCAGTTAGGCTGGATAACAAACATCACAAGGAAATTTATAAAAATATGAAAAACAAAACCAGGAACATCAGTCCATGACCCTTTCACAGACAGATTTATTTGCAAATTATAATCACAAACTGACACATTTGGTGATTGATATCCCATTTAATACATTGCAGCAGAAAAATAACTATCATTAAGGAGAAGCACAATGGAGGAAGAGCAAAGACACAGAATAAATATAAGGACATCAAAACAAAATTTAGCAAGTGGATTTGCCATATATAGCATATTTTAATATCGACTTCAAATGTTGCAAAATAGAGACCACAATGTAGTTATTTCCACCATCAGTCTTGAGGGAACATGGTAGTAATTTACGTTCTTCGAGGTTAAAATGAAAAAGATTTTTTTTCTCTTTGAAACTGATGGCAACTATGATATCTAGAGTCTCTATCCAATCATTTACATGAATATGGTCTTTATCTTGTATGAATTCTTCACTATTTCATGATTTCAAGTTTATATAGAGAGGCTTTAAAAATGTATATGGCTAGAGACATGGCTGAACAGCGAAGAAAATTTCATTCCCAGAAACAAGGTCAGGTCTTTTACATCTTCCTATAATTCCTGCTACAAGAAGATTCAAGGGTCTAACCTTCTTGGGAGCCAGAATGCACATTCACATACATACGCAAATACATACTAACATCGCATAATTAAAATTAAATAAAATCTTTAAACAAATTTTCACTCATGAAGGAATTTCTCTGATAAGTATTCATTCCTATCACACAGGTGTTGAGGGCATCTTACATACTTTGACTTCATCATGCATTGGTTCAGAACGCAAGCATGTAGGCTTGAAGACAGAAAAATCAATCTCCAGTTGGCAACATCATTTGAGAAGATTCAGAACATGCTGCCCTCTTGGAGGAAATATGTCATTAGGGATATGCTTTCATAATTTATATCTAAAAACTATTTCCTATTCCCACACTCTGCTTCATGCTACAGGTGGAGGATGTAAGATCTTTGCCTCCTGCTTTAGCTGCCATGTCTGACACCTGTTGCCGTATCACTTCCATGGTATCCCTCGGGAATCAAGAGTCAAATTAAACTCTTTCATAAGTTGACATAAACATAATGTTTTATCACAACAACAGAAAAGGCACAAATATCCATAAACTTTTACACCTGAATGTTATTTCATGTCATTGAAGAGATGTATGAAATCTAAAAGAGTTATTATATCATTTAAATTCATAGGGCTTTTTCCATGAGTTTGCAGGTACAAACAAAATAAAGATAGGCATTATACTTCTTGAACAGATTAATGATATGGTCAGATTTTTTTTCTTCAGAATAAATACACTTATGAAACATAAATGTGTTGGCTAAAGATCTTACCAAATCCTTTATAGCTAAATTCTCTTCTGTATGGGCTTTTTTTTTTTTTTTAGGTCGTCAAAGATTATTTTGATAGGCACAGGCTTTAAAAGAATGATGGCACACTGAAAGATTAAATCTTGTATAAAAGCTATAATGAGATGCAAAACCTTGACTACATTTATAGGAATTCTCTGTAGTATCATTTTTTTTTCCAATGATGCAAAGACTACAAAGACATATAAAGGCTTTACAACATTGATTACTTCATAGAGCTTTTCCTCCTATTTGTTTTCTTCTATGTATTTGGAAATGATTCTGTTGTGAAAAGACTTTCTCATATTGATTACATTTGTTGGGTTCTCTCTAGCATGTGTTCTTTTATGATAGTTAAGTTGACTCTGTTGTGTAAAGGCTTTACCACATTGTTTACATTCATAGGGTTTCTCTGCAGTATGTGTTCTTTTATGTACTATAAGACTACAGTTACTTGCAAAGGCTTTACCACATTGATTACATTCATAAGGTTTCTCTCCAGTATGCATTCTTTTATGTCTTTGGAGGTGATACTGTTGTGAAAAGGCTTTCTCACAATGATTACATTCATAGGGTTTCTCTCCAGTATGTGTTCTTCTATGCCTTAGAAGATGACTTTTCTGCGCAAAGCCTTTACCACACTGTTTGCACTCATAGGGTTTCTCTCCAGTATGTGTTCTTTTATGATTTTGGAGACTACAGTTAACTGCAAAGGCTTTCCCACAATGATTACATTCATAGGGCTTCTCTCCAGTATGGGTTCTTTGATGCAATAGAAGACTGCTTTGACATGCAAAGGCTTTCCCACATTGATTACATTCATAGGGTTTCTCTCCAGTATGTGTTCTTTTATGCCTTTGGAGATGATAATGTTGTGAAAAGGCTTTCCCACAATGATCACATTCATAGGGTTTTTTTCCAGTATGGGTTCTTTCATGTATTTTCAGGTGACTGTGACATGAAAAGGCTTTATCACATTGGTTGCATTCATAGGGCTTCTCTCCAGTATGTGTTCTTGTATGCATTCGAAGATGACTGTGAAACGCAAAGGCTTTCCCACATTGATTACATCCATAGGGTTTCTTTCCAGTATGTGATCTGTTATGATTTTTGAGAATACTCTGATGTGTAAAGACTTTACCACATTGATTACATTCAAAGGGTTTCTCTCCATTACAGATTCTTTCATACCTTTGAAGATGATTATGATATGCAAAGGCTTTAACACATTGAGAAGCTTCAGGTTTATCTTCAGTATGGCTTCTTTTGAGCCTGCAATGAAAATTGGCATATGTAAAAGCTTTACCACATTCATTACACTGTTGACTATATCTGTATAAATTAATTTACAATTTGGTTTAATTATAAAAGGCAATCAGATCTTAAGCTTTTATCACTTTGTTTACACTCATGTTGATCCCCTTCATTAAGGATTGTTTTTCATTTTTGAATACACCTGTGATGTAAGAGCCTTTCTTACAGGCTCACGTTTAAAGAATCAGTTATTCGTAAAAGATTTTTCATGTAGTTGAAGAGAACTGGGAAAAGTCAGAGCTTTACCACACATTAGGTTCATAAATTTTCCTATAGTGTGAGTCATACCATGTTTGTAAAGTTAACCAGGACAAATAAAATTATTTCCACATTTCTAGTATTCATAGGGCTTTTCTGCAGTGTTTGTTTATTAATGTATTTCCAATGAAGCTGGAAAAGCAATTACTTGTAAGCTTGAATCACATTCAACAACTATACTCAATATGGGGGACAGCTAGAAATCTTCTAATTGTTCTGAGAGGAATAAGGATATGTCATTACAATCATTATTCCATGTTCATATGACTTGTCTCCATAGTGACATATTATATACCTATTAAATGGAGAAAAACAAATAAAGGGTGTCCATGTAGCATTAACACATTTGATTTTCTTTTTCTCCTACATACAGTATAGTAACTAAGGTTTCTCCACAACAACTGCCCCTTGGTTCTTGAATCTAACTACACCTCCTCTCATTAAACTTAACAGAGTCGCAACAAGAATATGAGTAACATAAGGTCTGCTATGGACTATATGCTTCTTAGACGGTTTTTCACATATACTTACCACCTATTCAACATGTAAATGTAGTAATAAGAGCGGCGGGGCTGCATCCCCAGCACCCCGGCCGCCTCGCTAGCTTATGCCCCGAAATAACAACACACAAACTGTATTCTTTTAAACACCGCTTGGCCCATTTCTACCTAGCCTGTTCTCGGCTAATTCTCGCACCTGGACTAGCCCATTTCCAATCAGGTGTGTCGCACCGCTAGGTGCACTTACAGGGAAGATTCTAGCCTACGTCCATCCTGGGTCGGAGCTTCATCGCATGTGTCTGTCTGGGAGAGGGGAGCATGGTATCTCTGCTCCTGAGAGCAGAGCTGTCGAGTCTGAGCTCACTTCCTCTTCCTCCCAGCATTCTGTTCTGTTTACTCCTCCTACCTATGTTTTAACCTATGAGGGCCAAGCAGTTTCTTTATTGCTTAACCAATGAAATCAACAGATTGATATATGACACTCCCACATCATGTAAACATTTTGTAGTGGAGTGGAATGAAACTAAATAGATTGGCAGTTCTACAGCACAGCTCTCATGAGGCTAATATTGAAATGGTGATATCTGTTAAGGCATTGTTTTTGTGTCTTCCTTCTGAAATGAATAGCTTGCAAACACAATTCACCTGCTGGACATTGAGGTACATAGTTTTGAGAATTTAATAATCATCAATGTCCTTTAAGCTGTGCTAATATACTACTGCTTTCTTCGAGACATCTTAAAATTTCTTCTGAGGCATATTTCTATTAGCTTGCACATGCAAATTACCTTCCATGTCTGGTTGAACTTTGACAATGTTCTTCAATATTATGATCTTCCCATTTGTAGCCTAAAATATAGTATAAGAAAATATGTTATTTGAAATTGTGCAAAATTTAAATTATATTCAGTGAACTTGAAAACCATGCTTGTTTTTTTTTTTTTTCGTATCATCCTTCCACAGTCTCAATCATAATTACAGAAAACATCAATAACCAAAAACGAGCTGTCCCCTTATTTTAAAATGTGAAGGAAAACTCACAGTCTTACCTATAGCAATGAGGTTCCTACAGGTCTCCAGCATCACATCATTGTAGAGACTCTTCTGGGAAGGATCCAGCAAAGCCCACTCTTCCCGGGTGAAGTCAACATGCACATCATCATAGGTCACTACATTCTAAAATATCCCATCGATGTGGACAAAGAAAATGATACTGAAAACACAGTAAATGTATACTTCTTTGAAAATATAGTTATTTAATTCTCATGCTATCCACACGTATTCCATGACACAGAAACTCTATTGCAATCACCAAGTCAGTTTAGAAGAAAACTGAAGAGGATCGCCTTTGTCATTTTTGAACCCTTTGAATGAGATTATCACCTTGCTAGAGAAATGTGTATTAACAGACATAGAGAGACAAGAAAACAGATGAATAGTACTGATACGCATCAGAGAAATTGTTTGAACAATTCCAACTACAAAAAAAGTGTACTGGCTCATGCTTTTAATTGCAGCACTCAGAAAGCAGAGACAGATAGGTCTGCCTCTGAATAAAAAGCTATTCTCATTTATACAATCAATTCCAGCACAATCAGAAATACATATTAAGACCCTGTCTCCTCTGCAAAAATCAAACAAACAGAAGGATAGAAAGAACTCAGTGGTTTTGTACTGAAATTCCCACAAAGAGTTATGCATTCACTCCAGTTCTGTACTCACCTTCCAGAAACATAAAGTACCTGTCTGAAGTTTAACAATAATAAGATATTAATGAAAGGAACTGCAGGTTTAAACAGATGAAGACCGGACCAATGTAAATGTTGATAATAAATAATCAACATAGAAGATGTGAGATGGCTCAGCAATAAAGAGTTCATATGGTCTTCCATATGGTGGGTTTAAAAGCCAGTGCTTACGTGGGGAATTACAACTATCCATTATCTAAGCTCAGGGGTTCTGAAGTCATCATTTGATAATTATGAGGACAAGATACCCAAGGGGTGCACATCCATGAATGCAAATAAAAGACTCATTCATTTTAAAAAATTCAAAGTAAATGCAACAGGTAGAGAGAATGTCACCCACCTGCAAATTCAATGACTCAGAAGGCCCAGGCAGCATTAGTGTCATGAATGATACCCTCTGCCTAATATCAAGATTGAAGATGGTGGTGGAGCACAGTACAACAGGACATATTCAACTTGTACAAAAACCTACATTCCAGGCCCATCACCAAAAATATAAAAACAATACAAAACCCAGGATGTTGGCCCACCCTTAATCCCAGCATTTGGGAGACAAAGTCAGGTAGATCTCTAAGTCTGAGACCTTCTAGGTCTACAGAGCTACTTTCAGGACAGCGAGAGCTACACAGACATAACTAAGAAAATAAATACAGCATGCTACCAAAATGGTTAAGCCACTCAACAGCAATGGTTTCTACTGTATCTTATATAACTTAGGGACAAAGTCTATAATGCTGGTGATGTCATAAAAGAACAAGAAGGAAACTAGCTTGATCAGTTTCAACCACAACACAGTAGACACACACACAAAATAAAATAGGTTATGGTTAAGGGCACTCATCTCCAATCCCCAGTGAGTGATTTCATCCAGAAGGGTTCATCCTATTTAAGGTTCCACCAGCAACCCTAAAGAGCGCCACCAAGGAGAGACACATGTTCAAATACATAATCTGTCTAGAAGGTATTGAATTCAATCGACTACATTCAGACCCAAGTCACAATACGCTCATGGTCATCCATGAAGAAAATACAATTAGCCACTTCAATGATCCTCAGAGTCTACAACAGCCTCTATGACATTCAAATTTTCAAAATGTCTTCTGAACTTTCAAGATAAGCTCTTGAATGTGACAGCTTGTAAAATCAGAAAACAAGTCATATCTTCCCAAAACACAACTGGAACTTTATCTCAGGTGTAACAGAACACAAGATAGGTCAAATGTATTGGGCCAGGAAAACATAGAGGAAAATTAAAGACATGAGGCTAAAATAGCAATGAATTTGTGGGGACATGAATTGTTACAGCAATAGAATACTCACCAGACTAACATTTGCCCAATCGGAGAAACAAACAATAAATTAACTTATGTTGCTGGAAAAAATACTACAAGATATTATAAACAGTCACCGAACATTCAGGTTGTACAAGAACAGGGCACAACAGCTGCTGATCTTTCAAAGACACCAACAGTCCTAACTTTTTTTTTTTTTTTTTAACAGTCCTAACTTTAAAATGGTTGACAGACAAACCTGTATGGGTTGCACAAAAGCCATTAACAAGAGAGAAACTGAAGACTGTAGAACACTGTTCTAAATAAATGGTCAGCAAATTGAAGAATCAACCAGCCCTTGGAATACTCCTATATTTGTTGTTTAACAGAAATCTGGAAAATGGTATCAATGGAAGATTTTCCCACAGGGACTATTAAATAGTGATCCCGTGCCAATATTTTATATGGCAGTCATTCGAAATAATATGTTAGCAATGTCCTGATTCTAGAGTTTTCCATTATATGAATGACATTTTACTATCTGATTCAAATGTAGAGATACTTTAGAAAGAGTGTTTAAAGAAGTAAAGAAAATGTTGTCTTGTTGGGGATTACAAATTGCTCCTGAAAAATAAAAGAAATATCTACCAATTATTTAGGCTATCATAGGTTTACAAAAAAAATTAGACCCCCAAAGTGCAAACTAGACTGATTGCAGACTTTAAATGATTTTCAAACACTGCTAGGAGACATTTCAAATCTTCGGCCCACTATTTGGTTAAAATCTGAAGGACTGGTTAATGTAAATAAAATCTTAGATGGTCACAAGGATTTAAATAGTCCCAGGAATTTATCAGCTGAAGCTGAGAGAAAATAGAGTTTGACAGAAGAGAAACTATAGAAGGTACATGTGGAACATGTGGATCTGGATCTTAACTGCGTTCTGGTCATATTACCATCCAAATATTTCCCTACAGGAATTTTAATGCAGAGGTAAATAATATCTTGGAATGGTTATTTTTACCACATAACCCAAGGAAAGCAATTGAAAACTTACATAGAAACGATCTCTGAGATAATTCTAATAGAAAAATTGAGACTTTGTCAATTAGCAGAATAGACTGAGTAGAAACTATAGGACCTTTTATTTAATAAGGATGAAACTCACAAGTTATGGGCACAAAATGAACTCTGGCAAAGGATGAATAGTAATTTTTGGGAGAGATTAACAACAAATATTCCAAAAGCCAGAGAATTCGAGCTATAAAGAGACTTAGCTGGATATTTCCTTCCATTGTACAGGAAATACAAATAACTAGAGCCCCTACATTCTATAATATTAAAAATGATATCAGGAAAGGCAGGTTACAAATCAGAAAATTTAAGTAAAGTGGATCAAATCATTTATGAGTCTGTCCTAAAGTCAGAATTATATGCTATTCTCATCGTACTGAGGGATTTAAATAAACTTCTGAAAACAGTTATCGATTTGCAATATATAGAAAGAATTGATTTGCATATAAAAACCACTGAATTTATATCAGATGATACAAAATTGACATCTAAAACCAGAAAAATAACAGTCCCGTTAGGCAGGGTTAAAACATTAAACACAGATCTATTTCGGTTGAACTACTGTAACTATAGCTAATTGATTTCATGATAAGGTCAGTCTTTTTCCAGATTCTTGATTGCCCGGATCTGTGGACCCCAAGAAATGGCCAATCAGGACATTTATGGGGCATCTAAAATTGATTATCTGATTCCAAAGATAATCTCAACTACAGTTGAAAGAGGAAAGCTCTCAACCGCCATTCTGCCTCTCACTTACTGCACTGTGACTCCAACAGGTTCAAGGTTGGTCTAGGAACCCAGTTCTCGCACAGCTCTCTCTTCATTTATAAGTCCTCACTAAAAGTCAGAGAGATTGGTGGCCACTCGTTAACTGGCTTATTTTTCCTTCTCACTGATCACTCAAGGAAGGCCCAGACTGAAAAGAGTTGCAGGACTATCTAACCAGCACTGGGGAACAGAGGCAGGATTGGTCAAAGCAATTCTCAATTACATAGCATGAGACAGTGATATTACAAGTTCACAGTCTCCCATGCCAGGCTGGCAGAGCCTAACCCTACCGAGGGAATCCATAGTAAACAAATCTCAGTAGCAAAGGGCACTATACAAGTCACCACAGGGACCAACAGAACCTCAGTCTGGCTCATGGTCCATGCCATGTACAAGCAACCTTGACAGCTCAGCTAATTTTTTCTTCCTGGTCTGGTGACAGTGGACCCTACATTTGCCATGCTATGGTTGTGGTCTTCCTGATAGCTCCCTATAGCAGAACAATAGGAGAATCCTGGAAAGAACCTGTAAGATAGCTCCCACAGGTGCTCTTCATTGCTAAGCTTTTTCAGAGTCCCTAGCTAGAGTCCTTAGCAAGCACCACCCAGCTGGACTTCAGGACATTTGCAGTTTCCATACTGGGTAAGCAGAGAAAAAACTACTCAGAGAGCAAAAACCCTCTCAGGTTTGTCCTTCCATATGAAGGTCGGAGAGAACCCAAATATGGGAATTTTGTTGCTTCATAAACTCTACCATTCTCCCAGATCATTTTCTGCTCCTTTTCCAAGGCACAGGGTCTTATGTATGCACGTTCAGTTATACACTCAATGTCCAGTGTGGTCAACCTTTACTTCTTAGCTGTGAGGTCCTACAACCAAACACAAGTCACATTCAAACAGTAACTGTTGTAACTGTTGCTAAACAAAAAGAGGCCATGGATTAGAACACAATGAAGGGTCTTTGGGAGGGCTTGGAGGCAGAAAAGAGACATGGAACAATGTAATTATAATACCAAATAATTCTGTTAGAAGGATGAAACAGGCTTATGGCCATGTGCTCCAGAGACTAGGGAGTTGTATTAGAGCCCACCAAGCACTACTCACATCCTTTCTCTCAGGGTATACATCTTACACCTGAACAACACAGTCATAATAATCGGGGCCACACCATTTTATCCAGTTCTTCGATTTAGGTTGAACTAGTGTAATTACAGTAATTGGTTTTATGAAAATTCAATTTTTTATCCAGAATCTTGATTGTCTGGTCTGTGAACCCAAGAAATGCCAGTGAGAACATGTATTGATCATCAAAAATCGATTACATCACTACTCATTGCTAATGTCAACTACTGTCAAAGCAGGAAAGTTCTCACCCTCCTTAAGGCCCACCCCTTTCTCCACTGTGACTACACCTACTTTAAGGTTTGTCAGTGAACTCAATTCACACACAGGTCCCACTTCATTTGCAAATTCACAATGACATCTAGAGAAGTTGAAGGATACTCATTCACTGGTCTATTTTCCTCCTAAAGACCAGTCTAGAACAACTTAGAAGGAGCTGTAGGACTGTCTGCCCAGCCATGGGCAGCAGAGGCAGCATTAGGTGTTCAAAACAGTTCTCAGTTATATAGTGTGAAGCTAGCCTGAGGTACAGGAGAAAGTGATTTAAACAAGTAGTTCTCAACCTTCTGCATGCTGTGACCCTTTAATACAGTTCCTCAAAATGTGGTGACCCTCCAACCATAAAACTATTTTCAATGCTACTTCATAACTATATATTTGCTACTGTTAAGAATTAAAATATATATATATATATCTGTTTTTACCGATGGTGTGAGACCAGTCCTACAATAAAGTCATTTGATCCCCAAAAGGGAAACATGACCCCTAAGTTTGAGAAACACTGCTCTAAACTGATACAAGTAAACATATAAATAAATAAACAGCACTTAAGAAGAAATGGAATGAAACCCTTAAACTTTGAAATATTGAAAAATGGAAAAAAAGATGAATGATGCATTTAAAGAAAATGAATTTTTAAAATGATACAAATAATTGCTGTCTTAAAATAATAAAAATAATTGGAAAAATATGTAACTATACTGACTTGAAATGGAGTTGGCACTACCCTGGTAGAGGGAATGCCATTCATAAAAGAGTGTATGACTTTGTCCCATGTACATGTTAGCCACTGAGTGACACATGGAGTTACAGCCAAAGGCCTGTGTCTCAAAACTCTCAGCTGACTTAGCTGTGTTAACCAGAATTGCACACGTCTGATTTGGAGGATTTGCTAATTAGAAACTGAATACTTAGTAGTTCAAGCCAACCCTCCTAAAATGTCTCAAATCAAGACACCCACCAATTCTGTCTTCAGTCACATGGAAGGAATTAACACATCAGGGAAATTACAGAGAAAGTCACTCAAAATGCCCCATCAGTCCTTCATTGTAATGGAGACCCTTGCAGCTCACTGCCTTCAACTTCAGTCTGTGATCTAGCTGCTGTCTAGTCTGTTTCCCCCTACAGTGTGGACAGTACACTGTTCCTCCTCTTCTGGTCTGAAGGGAGAAGCTTTGCTCCACACACAAACCCTTTCCCTGTTCTGCAACAGTCAGTCCACTCTGTGTCTCAAACTGGTAATCTTAGTACTCTTGTGCTGCAGGTGTGTATTGCCAGCTTTAGTGTGGTTAGTCAGGAGCATAACAAGGGCAATGCCCTGAGGGGTCAGACAGGGTCCAAGTCCACCTCAAGCAATGTAGAAGACCTTGACTCAAAAGTGCTTTTCTAAAAGACTGGAGACGCTGCTGTAAGGGTCCCTTGAGCAGCATTTAGAGGCTGTTTTTATTTTATTCTCTTTTTTCAAGACAGGGTTTCTCTGAGTAGCCTTGGCTGTTCTGGAACTCACTTCACTCTAGTACACCAGACAGGCCTTGAGCTCATAAAGATGCATCAGCCTCTGCCTCCAGCGTGCAGGGACAAAAGGTGTGCGCCACCCTGGCTAAAGGTTGCATTTTTAATGGGGAGGGGGAGGAATGGGCCTCTCTGCTGGTTGTAAATCAGGCTGGTCTCCTTTTTTATGGGAATGTAGATACTTAAGCCTGGGGAACAAACATTTACATCTTATCATACTAACCCCAACTGGCGCGGTTAGCATGCTGCTTATTTTGTGAGTAATTGGAATGCAGTATTCCTTTACCTAAATTCTACCCCGTGACTCGATACCTCCTAAGAACTGGTAAGTCCTTATACCATCAATTCTACTCTTCTACATCACAGGTTAGCAGTAGAGTGCTACTCTACAATGGAGACACCATTTTACAAGCGCCATAAAATTAACTCCAGATCGATCCTAAACGTAAAAGTTAAATGTTAAAACTGTCGAACTTATGGAAGATATTAGAGAGACCAGCACTCTCTGATTCTGGCAAATCTGTGTTCCCTAGCGACAACACAAGCACTAAGGGCGCCGATATTTCACAGTGATGTCAACAACAAGGATATTTCAAACAACAGTCCCAATCCAATACTCTGCACAGACGCAGCCGGCATAGTTAAGTTACTCAGAGACTGCAAGCGAATTGCAGAGAATACACAGGACCGCTCAGGACCACACAGGAAAATGCAGAACCACACTGGGGCATGCTGGACCAGCAGGACTATGCCGGACCATGCCAGACCAGACAGGAACATGCCAATCTCTAAATTTGGCCACCGGCTCCCACCCAGGCAGGGGAGGAACCGCCACATTCGCTCCCTTCGCTCAACAGACTGCCCCTCCTAGTCTGGGAATAGCAGCCCCAAGCTCACCGTGTCGTGGTTTTCTTGGTCGCCCATACTCTTTGTTCAGCTCCCTGCATCAGGAACCTAAGCACAGAACATGCAACACAGCATAGGAAACTACTGGATTCAGCTTCACTTCCAAGCCAAGCCTGAAGCGGGCTACCGGAAGGATCCGGCACAACTTGTGATGTCAGGTCGCTTGGAGAGCCTGATTGGCTAGTGAAGCTTGAGTGACAAGAGCACCGCCCATAGGGTTATACTGTGCTTAAAGACACAGCACAATGATTCTTGACCTGGCCTCCATCCTAGAGTAAGACCTTTCCTACAGTAGCAGATATATGCATTTCAATAGCACTTGCCCCTGTCAACAACTGTAGATCCTGCTGTCTTCTTGCTCTCCATAGACACTTCCCCTTCTTTGTCCTGGGCATAACTTGTACAGCCACTATACTATGTGGGCTGGAGTGATTCCCTGTCACACAGGTGGATTTGTGTCCAGAACATTTAACAACTAAATAGAGATTTAAGGACACAAAAGGAGAGTTTTTTTTATTATGTGGCTTCACAATGAGGTCAGGTGAACTGATGGTACTTTTTACCTGGTTGATCCTAAGCAGGGTCAGCTAACAAATCCATTTCTGAACATGATCACAGTGTTAAAGCAGAGACATTTAGGTGCATTATTACTTCAAAGTCATGTAGAAACATATCAATTATAGAAATGGTGGAAAGAAATGCTCTAGCATGTTCATCTTGTACCTAACTTGTTTTTAAAAGGTACATTCAGAGTTTCTGTCTCATATTCGGAGCCATCTGGTATGGGACAGAAGAAAGACATTAGGAAAAATTTTACTTTTTCCATGCCTATTTTGTTTATATCATATTTTTCATTGAACGTACATTTATGTGAATGATGTTTAAGTGTTTCATGATGAACATAGATTTTTCCTGCAGATCCTTTTCCTGCAGTAATCTTTGAAGTTTCCAGGAAGAAGATGGGGCCCCACAGCAACAACTCCACCTAGTTGAGATGACACCATGATGCAGACAGCGCCACTATAAGACTGCTTTTTTGGGTACCAGCTGCTGAAATGGTGCACCTTCTCATGACATTCTGGCCAGAACTCCAAATGAGAACTTTGGGGGAAAAAACCCTATTGACTGCTCGGAAAATGTTTCCAACTATACAACACAGTAATTTTGGAACTTAACCACCACTTAATTTTTACAGGATCCCATTAAGAGAATACCACCCCCATGACAGAGGGAAGCAATTCTAGAAGATGATGCCCCCTATCCCAAAAAAGTTTGTACATAGAGTAGGGAACACTGTTTAGGGGTTGTTGATTATTTCTTGTACTAGATAGAGAATTGGGGTGAAACCTATGTTTGTTCAAAAAAAGGGGGATAATAATAGTGAGTAATAAAGTGAATACTGTGTGCTATCATTTATGGATAATTTACATTGGTATAGCTTTTTTATATTGATACAAGTTCAAATTATATTTGTTACTTTTGTTTACATTATTTGTACATATATACAAAGTTATTTTGTCAGATTGTATATATGCATGTTTCTACCTCAGTTTAGGACATTTTGTATATTGATATAACTTTTAGGATATAGTTTAATATTATTATAGATAAATAGTTATTCATGTTTATTGTAAATATAGTTAGATCAAGTAGGTTCTTTAGATACATAGAGATTGTATTCTGTCTAGATAGGTATTCTTCAACCACTACAAAGATCTTTGGAACATGGCATTTAAATAACTTAGAATTCTGTTGACATGAGACATGATTACTTCTGACAGCACCAATCTATTCCAGAGAGAATGTTGAGCACTGAAGACACTCCACTTGGAGCTTGTTTTCTTCTTGGCAAAACTGGCCTTTGAGCATGGAAGTGAAAATGCCTCAACCACTGACAAGTTACATAGTATCCAGAAATGGATAAGCAGGACTGTCAAATCTTGCCAAGAAAGGGTAAAACGGTTTTGAAAAATTTCCTGCCTCTGAAAACGGTCTGTCAGCTACACTATGCCTTAGCCAAAGTTGGTTGCTTCAACGTTGCAAAATGAGACTTTTGGGTGATTGCTCAGGTAGCTAATTGTCTCTGTCACATTTATTAATAATTGCTTTCAGTTTTTGTTCTGCTGGTGTTATTTTTAGGAAGGGCCTTTCAAGAATAACCAAGGATATCTTTCTAACATACAATGACCAGAATATACATTCCCTTTCCAAAGCAGAGGAGACACAAGAGAGGAAAGATTGGATCAAAGAAAAACTTAAATCCAGTAGGTCAAACATCGAATCCTGCTTATTTCAGACATATGGGTTTTCACTTACAAAAGGCTTAGGTGTTGCTGTATCCCTGCAACTAATTATACACCTCCCTTAGAGAACTTCTACTGCTTACAAGCAGCTCTCCATGGCAGATGTGTAATAACTTGAGCATCTTAATGTATTTGCTCTAAGAATGGAGCCAGACTTCATCCTCACAACTTCATTCAATGAAATCTCAGGATTTACGCAATCATTTTCTGACAATGCCAAGTATAGATGCTTGCAACTTTGCTGAACTGAAACCAGCACAGGAATCTATGCTCACAATATTTTACCTTTCTTAATCCAGAAAAAGTACCATTCAAATGGTATCACCGTATGGGGATATGGTTAAGAATGAACTCTACCCCACTTGGAACAGTGTAGCAGCAGGTTCTGTATGAAGTTGCTTTCTGTGGCTAGGAAACAGCTTGCCTTTTATTTCCATAACTTGATGTTTTAGATAAGTAGGGCCTTATTCCTGGGGTGCCTTTTCTATGCTTATAATGAAGGTCAGGTGTCTTTTTTTTTTATTGTCACTAACCTCCTTCAAAATTATTGCTTCTGTTTTAGTTTCCATTACTTGATGTTTTAGATAAGTAGGGTCTTATTCCTGGGATGCCTTTTCTATGCTTACAATGAAGGTCGGTGTCTTTTTTTATTGTCACTAACCTCCTTCAAAATTATTGCCTCTGTTTTAGTATGTCACTGACAACTAAAGCTAAATGAGTTCTGGATCAAAGACGTGTCATCAGGCCCAACTTGTCCACTTTTTTTTGAAGTTAGTAATTGTTTCTTTGATGTATACTCAATATTATTGTTCTCCTTGAGTGTCTCTTAATATCTGTTAGGAAGCATTTTTCTTGTAATGTCATATCCTACTCAATGGTCCCATAAACAAGAAGGCTAATCTCGCTTTTTTCTCTTTTAAAATGTCATTTTTTTCTCTCCAATCACATTTCATTTCTTTTTGCCCTACTTATTGCTCTTTTTCACTAGAGACTTGTTTGAATCATAAATACCAATAAAGTGTGATGCTAATTAGTCTTATCAATAAAAATCAGGAGACAATTATCGGGGCAATAACCCAAAAGATCAGAGATGCAAAGGAGCAGCCATTGGTGAATTCTTACCTATCTGGATTCTCAGATCAAAAGAGCCAAGATCCTCTCTCCACTTCTAGATTGTGCTGGGATATATGGCCTGAGTCTTCCAAATGCTGGGATCATAGGTATGAGCCTCCCAAGTGCTCCAATTAAATGTGTGAGTCTCCCAAGTACTGGGATTAAAGGTGTAGACCACTACCTAGCATCACAGTTAGCTAGTGGCTAGTTCCACTCCCTGATCTTCAGGCAAGCTTTGTCAGATACAGTTAGTATAGAACACAGCATACTAACTGTATCACTGACTCAATGTGTTATTACTTTTCAATTCTGGCTGTTTCTCAAGAAACAGGCAGAATACAGACTGATTTTTTTTTTTTGCCAAAATAATACACAAATGACCTGTCTAAATTACTGATTTACTGCCGTGAAAGGAAAACCATCAAATCAACTCTCATTGGGGAATAAGGATTCAAATATTTAACCATATGAGGACCATTCTCATTCAAACCACATGAACTCTGGCCTAGGTTTTATAGTTTATTTCCCAATGCATCCTCATGACCTTCACCTCCACCATCTAAATTACTAGTACTCTGCTTTGCCCATAATAGGAAGAGGTGTGTTTTGAGGACTATTTTTTCAAACTTGGACAGACTTGCTTGAAGTATTCTTATGTTCCAACTTTGGAGATAATAGTTTGAATAAAAAATTTCATTCCCTTGTGATAAAGAAAACAATGCCTTTTATGATCACTTATAAACTATTTTATGTTTCCATGATTGATCTTCGGATGTAATTCTGTATTATAATGAGGTAATATAACTTTTTCAAAATACAAATGAAGATGACAGATTTTTAAAGCTGTCTGAATTCTATTATACAAATATAGCAATGTGCTCTGCTTTAATTCCTTACAAGCTATAAGTGCTTTTGGCAAAATAAAATATTCCCACTTTATGTATGTGTAGCACCAATTCTAATTGGTCTTAATAATAAAAATCCAGAGCCAGATATCAGGGTAAATGTTAAAGATCAGAGAAACAAAGGAGCAAGCCACAGCCACCTCTTTCCTCACCAACTCCTCAGCTGAAAAGGGCCAAGCTCCTGCCTCTGCCCCACCTTATAACTTCCTCTCTCCAGCTAGCCATATAATGTTCTGTTTTCACCTCCCAAGTGCTGGGATTAAAGTTGTGTGCCACCACTGCCTGTCCTCTATGATTAACTAGTGGCTAGCTCTGCACTCTGAGCTTCAGACTAGCTTTATTTGCTAGAGAACCAATAAAATATCACTACATGGGTGTTTGTGTATAAAAAAGAGAATATCTTCCATGTGAATGTAGATGACATCTCAGACAGCAGTGTGTCAAGTCAAGTGGATCGGGAGTTGCAGGTAGTTAGGAGCCTCCTGACTTGGGTGTTAGGATCCAACAATAGGTCATCCCCAAGAAGAGTATCTGCTGATCCACCCGTGCAGGCACAAATTAACTTTTATCCACTAGATCTTCCATATATTATGAAAAGTAAAATAACTAAATAAATGGTGAGATAGTCAATGATCCTAGTCAGGAAGATGAATCAATATTATGATGTTAGGCACGTACAATTTGCAGCACAAATTGAACATACTCAAAGAAAACTCCCACCAATTTATAAAAGAAAGCATGATT